CACCCCCCCCCCACCAATTTATCTGAAATACCACTTTGAAGTTTGTAATAAATATAGTAAAATTTAATGCAAAAATGGCATGTTCTAATTGAGGAACCAAATAATTGTAGGTTTAGCAATGCATAAATGATCCCAACACGAATAGGATCGCAAAGAACATGGTCATCAGTAATCATAAAATAGTACCACGTGAGGTGGGGAATTCCTTGTTCATGGAATTGTCTCCCTTCTAATTCGCTGCTGGTTGTCTACATCATGTTCCAGTTCATCTGTTCATTTTTCCGGAATAAGCTCTAGAATGATCTCACCTAAACATTGTTATAATTACACATTATTTAAATAAATAATTTTGCATTTAATCTAAGGTTAAATAAGTCGTTGAACTTAACTGCAATTATTCATGTGAAACTGTAAATACCTTCACCTTAAGCAGTTACAATGAGAGAATGAAATTTTTTCTACGGGGTAAAAAAGGACATTTCCATTAATTTGTCAGATAATCAGAAAATTAGGTACAGTGTGATTGGAAGTAGTAATATCAGCGAAAAACCAATTAGATTAATTACCATAACATTGCTATATTTGTACCTTCCCCCTACCCCTCTCTCACGCACACACTTTCTCACAAACCTGAAGTGACTAGCTGAGCACTTTAGAACTATCCTCACATAGAAGAGATGCCGTGCGGTAAGAAGACGATCTTATGCACAGTTCTTGTTCTTTGTGTTTGCGGTTTCCTCTTGACTTATGTACGACGGGTAAAAGAGACCACCATCTTCGTAATCACTCCAACCTATTCACGTTCAACTCAACAAGCAGAATTAGTTCGTCTTTGTACGGTTTTTAATTTAGCTGGGAATATTCACTGGATTGTAATTGAGGATGCAATGAGAAGCAACAAGTAAGTGACGCTTATTTACTTCAAATCCAATGCCAATTCGCTTTCCCTGTAAGCCCTATATTAACTTCTAGGGGGTTAAATGATTTCTTAAAGTCCTGTGGAATCCCGTATACTCTACTGAGCGCTCAAACCCCATCAAGTAACGGTAGAAACACGAGACATAATGTTAGAGGTTCAGCTCAACGAAATGCTGCCTTAACTTGGCTACGTCAAAATTATCGACCTTTTCAAACTAAAGGAGTAGTTTTTTTCGGTGATGACGATAATACTTACCATCCGCAACTTTTCAATGAGGTAAGTGCGTTCTTTCGTCAAAGTGAATAGCTTCAAATAAACTTCATTTGTGATATATTTATAACAAATGGCAGGCGTTTTGCTAGTTATCATTAGCCCTTACCTGACTTCGGGCTTCACAAAGGGGAGGAACATCAAAGTGAGAAGAATTCGGGAGGGGGAATAGAAGAGGGGTTCACAGATGTGAAAGAAACAGACAGACACAAAGGCTCAGAAAGGGTAAGCAGGGTAAAAGAAACAGACACAAAGGCTCAGAAAGGGTAAGGAGTACTGTGTGAAAGGGTCGAATATGACATACAGTGGGGGTGATGGTAGTATGAAGTGAGAAGTCAACTGCCGGCTTATAGATATTTTTGCCGTATGAGTATACGTTGGCCAGGGTGCACCACGGACTCTTTTGCCGTGTATACGTTGCCCAGGGTGCACCAGTTTGTTTGCCGTATGAGTATACGTTGCCCAGGGTGCACCACGTGATAGACTTACTTGCCGTATGAGTACACGTTGCCCAGGGTGCACCACGTGGTGCCTTATGAGTATACGTTGCCCAGGGTGCACCACGTGGAGCCGTATGAGTATACGTTGGCCAGGGTGCACCACGTGGAGTAAGTCTATTCCGCACTCCACTTCACTTGTAATATTGCTATTAGGTGAAGCAATTTCAAGCCGTTATGCATTTGTTGAAAGATGAGTTAATTTCCAAATTAGACTCTAATAGTAGTAAGAAATAAAATAAAATTAGAGCCTCTTACATATCCACCATAAAAATAGAACGTATACCATTCGAAAGCATGCCTGATATGGGAAATGTTTTTGGTGGGTTAGAACAATGATATAAAAAATCAATTGAAAAGAAACTTCCGTTATCATTTCAGGGAAATCACAAATGCCACGAAAAATTAATAATTTAGAAAAATAAAAACTGCCTAGAGGCATGAGTGATTGGCATCTGGCATATTTGGATGTTGTTCAGGATCTTACTTTCATTTCTGCTTCTTTGGCAGAGCACGTGTTTGCTCAAAGATTTTATGTCATAGGAAAGTATCTGAATGATTGCAATGGTAGACCAAGTTTATTCAACTAATTATCTCCTCGGTTTACCACACAGACACCATTCAATTAATTCGCAATTGAATACACAATTTTGGAACACTTTCTTGAAGCGAAAATCTGGGAAAGTTGTAAAGCTGTTGTGGAAGATGGGAAATGAATTTTACAAGTACAGACTATGAAAGTCCACTTTCCCTAATATGTACTAAAATATGTACTCAGAAAGCTCAGCATTTCCTAATACAGATCTCCCTCCGAACTAATGGGATCCATTAATAATCTTACTGACATTTTAAACAGTTCATATTAAGTATGACTTTAGTGATATTCTTCTACACAATCTACAAGGTAGGCTGGTAGTCATTTTCACTTATGTAAACTGACTCACAAAACACTGTCACAAAATTCGTTAACTCACCTCAACATATTTAGTTACTTTGGCGTCTGCTAAATTTCCATAGCCCAGCTGTCTTGGGATGGCGATTAAGCGTTTCAAAGTTTAGGGAAGGGTGGTTACTAAAGCAAAAAAACTTTTCATCCCTACGAAAAGCTTTTGCTACTCTGACCTAGATGGCAGAAAAAACGGTTGACTAAGACTCAAAAAGTGGCATATAAAAGCCTATTTGCATGGCAATATCTAACGATATCGAACGAATAGAGATGTGTTTAGAATAATCGCCTATAAGTGACTGGAATATAGTGAGCGGTTCTTATTAATGCAGTTATATTTAAAAAAAGACCAAGCAATTAATGAATATTTTATTTAGATGCGAAGTATTAAGCGTGGGGGCACATGGCCAGTCGGTCTATTAACGAATTCCCAATGGGAGGGTTGTATGACAAGTGTTGCGAACAGAAGAAAGATTGCAGGCTTCTGGACAAATTGGAAACCCACTAGAAGATTCCCAATCGATATGGCCGCTTTCGCCATCAATTTAGATATTGTATTGACTCATCCAAACGCCTTGTTCGATTATGAGACAGTTGGAGAACAGGAAGGTTTAATACTCTCCAAACTGGGGTTCACCAATGCATTTGATTTGGAGCCCAAAGCTGACGGTTGTACAAAAGTAATTGTTTTTTTAAATTTATTCCCATTAGAAGTCGAATTTTATATAATTTTTTTTGTATATTTTTCGCTTCTAGCTTTTGGTATGGCATACAAGGTCAGTCCAACCCGACACCTCAGTATCTCCACCTAAAACGGTTGCTAACTTAATCTGAAGTCTGTTTGTATTATTCTGATGCACAAATTTTTGGTGGAAAAACTTGTTATAAACGATTGTTGTCAACTCACCATTTTGCCTGCAACATCAGGTAGCCAAAAAATGAAAAGAATTATAGTCGAGAGTTTGGGATTTATACCTTCGCCCCCACACCCAAAGCAACTTTGATCAATTTTTAATTTTTCAAAGACGATGGAGAATAAATTTCAAATCCCATTTATGAAGATTAATCTGTTAGTGGAGGTACTAATGAGATATTTGGAAGGTCAATCGAGTTAATCGAAAGTGTCTAAAAGAGAATTCTCGAATGCGAATTCACTATTGGCATTGGGTTTTTTTTTCAAATTATCATGAGGCACTCAACTGAAATTTACTTGCATATAAGCACAATAGAAAAATAGTTTACTGTTTTGCTTTTCGCTTATGAAAGTGAAGTGGATTTAAGAAAGGTGCACCGTAATTTGATTTCATTTATACTTAAACCCTCAATTTACTGCTAAGTTTAATGGATTTTGTTTAGCTTTTTATTAAAGGGAAAGGTGAGAACGCCAAGCTCTGGCCTAAATTCTTAATTATCCGATATAGAGACTTGATTAAGTGGAAATGAATGTCTATATGAATAAATTGGAATAAGAGAGAAGAGCCATTTCTATTGAATTCACCTTGGCAAAAGTATTTCATATCATGAATGATGCCGAATGCCTCACTTTATCCACTCATTTCAACATATTTTTTTAAACAACACATTCCATTCGTATACTCTGTAAGAAGTTGGCTTTTTCCTCACTTGAATGAAGTTGCAAAAGGGAGAGTTATCATTCAATGGAAGTTTCCTGAGTGCGACTATGGCGACACGCCCCAATTTGAATGCCTTAGTACTCAAACACTTATGTAGGTATAATCGGATCAAATTATTTTCTGTATAGATTTCTTTATAACCATTACAATTCTCCAGTTTAAATTTGAGCATTTGTTACATAGTTGATGGAGTACTTAGTGGCGCGAATGATTTCCTTTTTGTAGTTTATCATTTGTGTGAAACAGGATGATTCAAATTGGTCTCTTCCATCATTCAGGTGGGTTCCGATCGTCCATTCCCCTTGTCTTCTCGGAAGATCTTCCCATGCTTAAGCAATAGCATATAGTAATATAACGATTTATCTGTCATATTTGATTTATCATTATGGCTTAAGTGACTATGACCAGTTTGTCATAAGTGGCTCTAATTGAGTGGCCCTAACTGCTTAGCAGATGCACAACACAGGCTCATATATCGGTTGTGACTATTTGATATGCTATTTGACTATTTGAAATACTTAAAATATTTTTATATAATTTGATGTGATGCTCACTTAATAGGGCCACAATTATTCAGACTCTATAATGGGGAAGGTCGAGGACTTGAAGCTCCGTCGCTGGTCCCCATTTCAGACAATAAAAGCACCTACATGGAATCGAAGTAGAGAAAGATGATTAGCTGACTTTTTTATTAAGTTACTAATTATTACTCATAACAATATTAAAGTCTGACCTAAAAGTTCAACCAATTTTTTTAGATGAATAAATTTACGAGTGCACTTACAAGTGTACTTTTGGTGAGATCATGTGTATTTGTGACAAAAGATATTCAATATGACACCCTAACAATAGTCCACGATGATTATTTCATAAAAACTAGATAAATGAACGTGTTGGCAACATTTAAAGTTACAGCTGTAAGATGCACCAAGTTTCCATTTGCTATTGCAACATCGTTCTGCTAAATAAATCCAAACACGCATGTTAGAAAAGATCAGTGCGTGCAGAAAATGCCTTCAAGCACTTTCACTTAAAAGTCGTTTTATTTGAAGAGTATTTGATCCCACACAAGTGCGCAGCATCAACTTGAAGTCAAAGGCATGATTATCTATAAAATCTCTCTGAAAATTACCTATTTAATGAAAGTAGGGTTAACTTTCTTAATGAAGTTAATATTTTACATTGTAAACGCCCATAATTACATCTATTTTTGGGGAAATGACGTAAATCTTGGGAGTATTGCAAATCCAGCCCCCCTCCCTCCACGAGTCAATAGTTCAAAAGACCGAGAAGAACTCAGAGCCTCCATTTCATCAAGGCTTATTCGGGTGGCCACAATTTTGCCGAATCTGTGTTTCATCAAGTAGGACGAAGTTGAGGAAATTGCAAATATGAATATAAATTTCAAAATACTGATACGGAGCCGTGGATAAAAACACATTTTCTTTCTATGCATCCACGCTAAATTAATTGTGCGCGCAATTGTGATTGTTCTTTCTATATAACAAGGAACACAATATGAGGCCGTTAAATTATTAAACCTTGCCCAGTCATGTTTACCAAGTAAGTGATTGTTTGTTAAAAAAAAGTAATGGTGAAGCAATCGTAGAGATGTAACAGGAAAACAAGAATCTCAAAGATATTTGTTATAGAAAACTGCCTTAAACCTATTATTTGAAGCAGTCTAACTGAGCCTACACTAGGTTAAAAATGTCGAAAACGAGAATAACTTGTCATCTGACAACTAAGAGCAAAATATCGTTTGCACTCAATTAAAGGAAAAGATATTTTTCCACTAATCTATTGCTGTGATAATTGACGTACGTTTAAGTGCGACTGTATTTGAAACAGCCACAGAAAATAGGCACGTATCACCCCATTCACAAAGAATAGTAATCATCGGTTTTCTTACGCAATCATTTCGGTTAGACTAAGGCAGTTCTTACCGAGTGCCACCAAGTAGAAGCAATATTCTTCCTGATGTTGATTAGCATTTGGTCCACTGTAATATGCGCACATAACTTATTTGATGAACATAAATATTGCCAGGCCACAGGCAAACGTGATGGCAGAAATAAGATATTCATACCAAAATAAAATGATTTCTCATTAAGGAAGAGAATCCAATAAAATGAAAGCTGATGGAGATTTAGTGTATTGGGGAGATAATATCTGAACTTGTGGCAGAGGGTGTGAATTTAGCGGGGGGAGGGGGGAGGGGCCCAGTGGGAGATGCTCAGCAAGTAGCAAGTGAATCATGCTTCATCTTGGTTCCAAATTCAATTGGTAGTCTGCTTTCCAACTTTCAATGTTGAGACTGATCAATTCTTAAGAACATGCTCTTTATTTGCAAAGAAAACGATGTTGAGACTTGAGTAGACGCCACGATAATCCATTTTATAAACATCTTACGAGTTTTCATCAACCAAGCAACGTGGCCTGAGGGCTGATAGATCATCTTGGTGTTTGTGATTAACGATTGGACCGTACTTTCTCATCTCTCCGGCATTTGTAACCAGTCATTGGAGGCACCATTTTCCTATTGGTTATAGGGCTTAATTGACATCTTATCAAACGAGAAACCTTTTTTGAAGGAAACGTAATACAGATATTTGACTCATTCAAATTTTGTCCAAGTCTACTCTTTGGAAGGAAAGTTAGAGGTAGCTACCTACGAAAAGTTGAATTGTATTAAAAGCGCTTAACGTAGCAGGAACACGAGATTTATAAAGTTAAGAGCACTTACTGTAAACCTTGCTTAGTATTTAAATGTATATATTTTAAAAGAACATTATTTGTGGGCAGAAAATACCGATTCAGTACTCAAGGCGATCAGATGTGGTACTTTTAATCAGCCTTGTTGTCAAAATTTGAAATAAGGACAATTAACAAATACTGCGTCAATATTTTAAATAACTTCGTCTAACGCCACTTTAAGAAATCATATTTTTATCAACAGGTTTGAGTATTGTATGCACCCCGAATATATTTGTTCAAGTTTTCCTTAGGCATTCAAAGCTACGGTCGATACAACGATGATTTAATAGATGAAACGTTTTACTGGAAAAGAGTAGTGCATATTTATAATGGATAAATGTTTAGAGTGGCAATAGCGGGAAATCGATGAAGGTTAAAATGATTCATATCGTTCGATTTTAATTATGGTACCTAAGTCAATTGCTATTACTTTCAAATTTTAAGTAACATTCTCAACCTTATAAAATATTCCTCCATCATCAATCGCTTTCCTTCTGTTATTCCTCTCTGGATTCCGCTCAAATTAACTCACTTAGTATAGGGGAAGGCAAATTGAAAGACTTTCTATTGACATAACGCCTATTATAACTGAATGCATCTGAGGTTTCACGGCATAAAAGCTTACTTTCAAGATTGTAGTTCATTGCTTTAATCTTGATTGGAGATGTAACTTTACAATATCCACTAAGCCTCATTTCTCCCAGTACCCGTCATGACATCTCACTAAGAGCAATTCAAATTTCCTTCAATCCACTAAAATATATGCACCGCTTGATTGCATGTATTTAGTCCAACATTTTAGGATTACAATTGCCATAAATTAAGATGCACTTTTTGGAATGAGCTCAAAATGCGGAACTGTCTCGTTGTTAAATACAAGAGTACCGATTTTGTAGCAAGTAATAATGCAAATATTCGCACTTATGCGTGATCGAAGTTCAATGGAGTCATGCCAATCTATTTTCTGTTACACTTTTTGGAGATAATTATGTCGATAAAAATCAGCCATTTTATTGGAATATATGTTGTTTTAACTATATTCAACCACTGAACGGACATTACGCTTAAATAAGCCCTCAAAAAGCGAAACAAATCTTGTCTGGCGAAAGCCACAGGAATCAAATTTTGTTAAAAATGATCAGCATCGAAGGAATATGACTCATGAATGGTATTTGTTGCAACTTATCACCAGCTGTAAAGATGAACGGTTTATGAAGGCATTTATCGTAACCTTGAAGCACCTCCGCACACAGGACTACACTTGGTCATTGTGTGCCCACCTTCCAGAATGCTAAATATTTCGCAGAATCGCTATTACTGAGGTTAACAGCGATGGATACTTCAATTGGTCCACCTTAGATCACACCATTACACACTTGTTCTTTTAGTTAGCATTGACCAAAGTAAAGCTAAGCTGATGTTATACAAGGAAAGACTAAATGG